GAAATTTTTGACGAAAGATCAGGAGTCTTTAATCCTAGAAATTGACTCAAATGTCAAGAATAAATTCCGATTGGACTGGCTTGACAGAAAAGTCACTGTAAAGGTTAAAATTGGTTCCAAGTTCGACGAAGTTACAGAAGCTCTTGGACAATAAGCTTTGACGTAGCAGGCAAAGCTTATTGTGTGTATTGTAGTGACTTAATTAACTATGGCTCCCGTGGATGCGTGGCACTGACAGATCATGCAACAAAAGTGAAAAAACATGCCGACAAAATCGCCATTCGACGGAGCAATTATTTTTTGGGATCGGCATTTTTCAAACAAACTTCGTCAGCGGATACAACTAAAGACGTTCTGCGCTGGGGTACTTTGGCTGAACCAAGCAACGAAATCTGCGTTTTATGTTCATATTGATAATTCACGTTTTGTCTTGGATAATAAAGCACGGTTATGCATAATAAATTGTATGCATAATAAATATTCACTATCACTGTATGAGGTAAGAATCAACAGCTTTTTATCACATTTACACAACACTTTATGAATACAAGTCATGAACAAATCTTAAATATGGCAGGGAATGTGTTTACTTTTTTAGTTTTGATTTTGAGCAGCAAATTTGGAGTTACATATTGGTGCTCACCAGGAATGCATAGGCAAAATTGCACAAATTTTCACTTGAAAGAATAGTGGCGATCTTGGGATTTTTTTCTGTTCAATTTTCAAACTGTGTAAATTTAATACACTTCATCTTCAGCATGTTTAGTGCCACTTTTGTAAGTAACCACGCCCCCGTCCAGGCCACGCCCCTTCCGCTTTTTTCATCACTCGCCATTGCCATGTATGCTTTGAGGTACCTCCAGGGATTCCAGTCACTCCTAAAACGGACGTTTCCTGAGTGGTGGGGCCGATGGTCTCCACTTTAGTCCTCAGTTCATCCCTCAGCTTCTCCGTTGAGGCTTTCTGCGGCATCTGCGCGGCCTCTTTTCCCTCAGGATCCCAAATTCTCGATTCTGATCAACAAGCAGTATGACTAACACCGGTTGGTGAATATTGACATCTATAAAACGTGATGTATCGGATGTGTTGTCCGCACCTTTTAGATCATTGCGATCTGTGTCATTAAGGACCAGACGGTCTTCCTGGAGACTTTCTTTCGGGCCGTCTACATGATCGGGGATGGCGTCGCGCTGTGTTGCTGGCGTGATGTCTTCCAGTGCTTCCTCATCCCCTGGTTGGTCTTCCCCAGCTACAGCGGAGAGAATTTTAAATATAAGCGCAGTGGTAAGAGTTTAATTTATATATATATATATATATATATATATATATTTTTTTTTTTTTTGCACACTAAAATGAATTGGAATTCCATTCATCCTTTCCAGACCCTCTTTATAAATCCGTGCAGCTCCTTTTGGTGTGTGCGCCTTGGCCACCAGAGCTGACTGGAAAACACAAAAGGGACTGACGGACACAACTGCTCAGCAAGCTGCAGTAATATTGGTTTGTTTTTCGCAGAGGAAAAAAAGAATATTTTCTTGAAAATAGCCGTTGTGTAAAGAGTTATGACATAGACATCAATGCTATTCGTTAGCCCATCTATACTGTTTTGATGATGATGTTTTTTTTAGCATTAATCTAGTGGACTTTTCTAATGCAGAGTGATGCAGTTTTTTTGTTGTAACTTTTAACACTCTTTGTTCGATATTTAGTTTGACAGACAAGTTCGACCAAGAGTGGGAAGAGCTTAAAGCCTCTTTTCTGAAGGACTGTTCATCATCCGCTCGACGGTTGCTGCTTCTCAAATTTTGTCAGATGACTCCGGAGTCGAGGTGACGCTGCATGCTCAATGAAAGAGGTTATCGTTGGAGGCAGGAAACGCTCACCGGCAGAGTCGTCGTCTTTCCTTGTTGGGTCCTCATTGCTCTGTGAGCCTGCGGAACCGTGGTCAGACTCATCGATATTTCCATCGGGGTCAAGCGCAGGGACGGCGCCGTTCTCCACATTTGGCTCGTCCAAATCGCCTTGACTCCACCCATCAGTCAGAATGACAGAGTTCTCCTCATGCTGATCACCTTCTGCAGCACAAACAAGATGGCCATATGAACGAATACCTGTCCCATAACCCCAAGAGGGGAAAAAAAAGCATTGGGCTCCCAATAATTGTAATGACAACATTCAGCGAAATGGTGAGTTGTATTCCGAGACATTTTGTTTTCATTTGTTTCTATGACAGTCCACCAGAACATTGTCTCACATGAAAGCGGTCCACAGAGTAACCAAAAAAATAAATAAAAAATTGGAAGACTGCTGTTTTAAAGTAGGATTTCATTTTTTCATTGGCTCGGGGTACCAGTGATGGCGATGAGGTTGAAGTCTGATTGTTGACAGTAAAACCTCAGCCAGTTTTACCTGAACACTGTGTGATCCTCTCATCTGTAGCCTCTTCCTTGATACCTGACAACATGACATATTGGGTTCACGGTTAAACACAGAAACCATTGAAATATTTTAGCACCCACAGTGCAATGCATTACCTGCCGCTGCTTCTTCTTCTTGTTGGAGATGGAAATCTCGGTCTGGTGGGTCTTCCATAACTAGTTCCATAACTCAAACGGGCCCGATAAGTGGTCCTTGGTAGCGTAAAAACGGACAAACGCGTGTCACGTTACGACGACAACAACTTGCACATTGATCCACCTTGGACAACTGCTCCTTTAAGTGTCCAGAGTCCAAAACGATTTATCCAAACGTGTTGCGTACACTCTCACCACTAAATCACACATATAGATTTATAATCAAGTAAAGTTGTATTGGGAATAGAAAACCCTTACGTAAAATGTATGCAAACAAGAAAAAATTGAAGTCGAATTGAATTATGTTACCAACACAAGCGAGATCCGAAAACGTGTGAGAACGAAACTAAAATGTTGAAAGCCAGGTTAGCACATTAGCAAGGATATGTTAGCACAGCTGAAATGTGAACCAAAGCCACCTTGCCGTGGAAAACTCACAAGCAGGAGCGCACAAGTGCATAAATAACAGGTAGATCAATTTGAAACTCACCCCCAATCACATTATCAAGAACGACAGCCAGTAACGTGATCCTGATTCGGCGTTTCGCTCACTGACAGGTCCTATTTATTTATTTTTGTCAAGTGGAACCATTGAATCGTGTTGCTGGGGGGACGACGACAACTGACGGACAGTTTCTCTTCCGCTTTTTGTGGCCTCCGAGAAATTCTTCCCCCGTAATTCTCGTCCCATCTGGGCACAATGTTTAAACTCGTTGATTAATTTGTGTTTTACACATTTTCTCGACCAAATTGTAACAGTAGATGGATCCGGAAGTTTCTGAAGATTCAGTCTCCCGGGGGGCTCTGAGGAGATCGACGCGACGGCAGTCAACGGGAAAAAGTAATTGTCGCAGACTGAGAGGGTTAAATGACGTTAGCCTTCGATGCTAGTCCGCTTTATTCTTCACAATGAGTCTGACGAGTTTTGTCCAATGGAACGTTGATTTCACTCGAGTTAATTGTGGTGGAAGACAGAAAATCCAATCAATCTTGCTTCATTAAAATTATCCTTGCCTTTATAGCTCCGATTTATGAAGCGACCCCAAGAGGTCCCATAAAAAGGTCTAAAAAGAGGATAGAAATGCAGGCGTCTTCTTCTGTCCCAAATATGAATGGATCCAGAAATGTGGAGAATGGCTCAGAAGATGAAGGTGAGCCAACTGTATTTTCTTGGCTTCAACGATAATTAAAACTTTATATCATAACAATTCACCGTTCGTGAAAAGTGCTTCAGTTGTCCAAAATATGTCTTCCAGCGTCCCCCGGCAAGAAAAGTCGACTGGAGGAGGAAGAAAATACGTCGGGTGGCAGTGGTGACAAAAAGGAGATGGATCTCCAAAAATCAGCACTGCAAGAAAACGAAGACCAGGAAATGGATGTTGAGGAAGATTCCTCATGCAGTCCGTATCGTCCAAAACTAGCACCTGGTAAGTGTTTCATGTGACACGTTCTCCACTACATTAAGTTGAGATTTTCATACATACTCTCATTGAACCTCAAACGACAACCTCATATGTTTGCATTTGGAAACAGAATGGTTCAGAAATAGAAGTCATCTCTTCCCGGGTCAAATAGATCAGCATCAAAAATGTCATACAGTGCTCAACCAATAGAGCCCATCCAAAAGCAGCAATATGCAATGCTTATTTTTTTCAGTTTCATTGTGGCTCTTGAACTTTTGCCATTTTAAACAGGCAAGGCAAATTTCAAATTAAGTTCACCTTTTATGCACCCAAATTTAAGATATGAGAAATTAATTAAACATAAAATACAGCCACTAAACTCCAGGAAAATGGACGGGGTAAAAAAAACAAATGTGTCATCTTAATCAATAAATAATACTATTGTGCTTTACTATTATTTCAATATTAAAACACTGCATTTGTGTTGGCAGAATAATTGTCTTATTTACCTTACATGGGTGCTGGTCAAATACATTTCCTTCACGTGATACTATATATTTTTTGCTACTTATCAAGACAAGTGTCAAAAGCGAATCACTTTCAAACATAGCAATTAAACGCAAAACTTTAATTGAAAAGAGAATCTTTTCTTGTCGATTCTCCGCTTCACTTGAAATGAGTGTTGCAAAATAAAAATAAAAACCACCCGAAAAGCACATTTAGAATTTAACGGCAAAGAATTTAAGGGCAAGGAGACAAATGAATTTTGTTTACATGCTCAAAACAAATATTGGGACAACAAAATTTTTATCCAAAATGTGATTAACTTATGGACGTCTTTTGTTTTTGAGATGTTTGTTTTCTTAAGATTTTTGTAACAGCTTGCCACTCACAACTTTTTTTTCTTTTTTCTTTGTTCTTTCACATATAATAGGCTGCAGAGACGATGTGAATTTTTCCCCATTCGTTCTGCTTGGCGAGCGCTGCCGTCCAAGTGAAAATACAGAGAGACACTTGCTGAAACGCAACGAAAGTACGATCCGTTTTTCTCCGCATTGATTTAAATGGTAAACATCCCGATGTACTCAGCCGGTTGTTTTGTTCTTTCTTCAGTCAAGGCATCATCGACGAAAGAAACTGTCACGTTCACGAAGCCCCGCGCACCAACGGGATCTTCGGGGAACACACAGAAAGTGCAAGGCCGCAAAATCACCAGCATGGCCGAGTACAAGACGAAGATGGAGGCTAAAGCCAAAAGCTCCGGTATGGTCGACATTACTAAATCCACTTGACAGTAAAGACACGTTTCTTGCTTTCGGGAATCGCACTCCAAATTTCTTCCAATGTGTAGGCATCTCCAGAGTCAACCACCACAGCGTCCCAAGCGTGCATGCACCCTCTGTGATATCGTACACGCTACGACACAGATCCAATAACATTCCGACCCGGAAAGAACCGGTCTCGCAGAAGAAAAAAGGTGACCGAACACTTGAGAGTCCACCTGCTTGTTTGATTTCGTAGTGTTGCTATTTCTGTATTTTTTAATTTTTTTTTGTCTCTTTCAGAAGTTAACAAGACACAAGGAATTGCCAGGAGATGTTCTGGAGAAACATCACGAGGTAAAAAAAAACAAAACGTTATTTCTCTGACATGAATGAGGACCCTTTAAAAATAAATAAAAATAAACATGCAATCGCAATATTGAGTGGGGGGGGGGGAATCACAATTACCGCATTTTCCGCACTAAAAGCCTCACCTAAAAGCCTTCCATTTTCTGAAAAGCTCACAGTGCCTTAAAATCCGATGCGCCTTGTGTATGGTCATTACGGTAATATTTCGACCCCAAAATGGCTCCTTGCTCGAGACATGAGGACAACGCAGAGTTCAAACTTAAGGCGATCGGGTGACGCAGTTGAACACGGAAATAGAGCAGCGGCAAGGGAGTTCAACGTTAACGAGTCAACTTGCTGTTGGTTAAGTGAACTGTGTCGCTGCTTTATTAAATAAGTTATACTGACATCTGATCGTTCTGTTGGCGCTTTCTTGAGCGTAGCTCCATCTAGTGGAGGCATTGTATATTGCGTCTTATAATGCGGTGCGCCCAATGTATGAAAAAATTACAAAATCGGCCATTCATTGAAGGTGCGCCTCATAATCCAGTGCGCCTTTTAGTGTGGAAAATACGGTAGTTATTTTTTCGAAATTGCATAGGCTGACTTGTAAGTATGCTGCTCTTTTATTTCAAATTCATCTTGGATTTGAGCGTCTATGAACGCGGTCATGTGTTCTTTCAGGATTACTTCCTTATTTCTGCTGGGCAGTTTTGGTCCTGCTGCTCGTCAGCTCTGCTGTGCTGCTGCTCTACAAGGACAAGGCGACAGCGCTGTACCGGGCTTCTGCGGGTGCAGCTCGGCGTCCATCCAGGTCTGTGAGACTCGAGCCCTTCGCAGATCTTTTGTCAAAACTGGAGGCTCGCTTCCGCAGTCAAAGGCCCGAACTGTGGAAAAGGAGCAAGATCCACTTGGAGAAACACCTCAAAAGCGCCGAACCCACAGAGCCCGTCAGTCTGATCCTGACGTCCGGGCGCAGCGCTGAAAAGACGCTTTCCTGCCTGGCCGAGGGCCTGGCATCCGCCTTCTCCTCTGCACTGGAGGCTTCCGTGCTCCAAATCGACGGAGCCGGCAAAGCCGGCATGGAGAGCGACGAGGTGAAGCTGGATGTGGACGGGCTGCTGCGGACGGCCTTCCGGGAAAACCGAGCGGCGGCCGTCATCCACCGCTTGGAGGAGCTGCCGCCCGGCTCCACCCTCATTTTTTATCGCTACTGCGATCACGAACACGCCGCCTACAAGGAGGTCTTCCTGTTGTTTACGGTGCTGCTGCCCAGGGAAGAGGTCAGCGGGGAGCTCGGAGTTGTCGAGGAGATGGTTCAGGACTATCTGAAAGACAGACTGGTGGGCCCGAGCAACCGCACGGCCTTCAACGAGATGGACACGGACAAGTTTGGCGGACTGTGGAGCCGCATCTCCCACCTGGTCCTGCCCGTGGTGGCCGAGGGCGAAGTCGAGGAGAACGGATGTTGAGGAGACAGACGGGCTTTTTCACAGTTGGACCTGACCGGGTCATTCCATGTCAAATCAACCCCAAATTTCAGGTTTCATTCCAATTTTGAGGTGTTGTCCCACATTCTGAAGTTTCTGCAATATCACTCAGGATTTTTTATTTTTTTTACTTTGAAGTACACATAGGCAGGGGTTGTGTTTGAGTCAAATGAAGAAAATCACTGTCAGGCAATATTCTTGCATCTCTCCAACCCCCCCCCCCACTCCTTTTTTATTTTGTATTTATTTATTTAGTTAGTTTTAAGGGAAGTATTCACTAGCCACCATTTTTAAAGAGGAAGTCAACTCAAAACGTTTGAAATAATCCGTTCCATGTGGCCCCGCTTTGCAGAATATGCATGAAGCCACCGAATCCAACTGTTTTTATCTATCTCAGGGGGTGGCCATTTTGCCCCTTGCTGGCGACCGAAAATGACATCACATTGCTCAGGATGTCGCATGATGAAACTCAGAAAACGGGTAGGCGGTGATTGGTCGTTACCTGAGCCCTTGGGCACTGTGATGTCACATAGATTTTGCCGCCTGATTCATATTCTACAAACGCAATATTAATCCGAGTGCCATGTTTAGGCTAGTTGGGCACCATACGACATATTATGGTCAAGAACATTTTTGAGTTGACTTCTGCTTTACAGGTTTTTTTTTGTTTGTTTTTTTTGTTTTTTTGTTTTGTGAAACCTTTTTTGATAGTAAAATAATTCATTTCACGCTGAGGCTGAAATTCTTTCTTCAAGGGCTTGACAACTAAAATGTTGGGTATCGTGATGTTTTCCCTTCCGTTTCCAACCACACCTGAAAATTTGAAGGAAAATCTCCGATGGGAAAGAAAAATTCTTGCGCTCACCTGGAATGACCCCGACGGTCCCTCGATGAGCTCATTGTTGAACTCAACCCGCGGTCCACCGGAACCAAGCTCTTATTTTTGATATGAAATCAATTCACAACGTTGACATTGATCATCGATCATTTTGACTCCTTGACATTTTGTCACAGCGCTTTCCATCACTCAAATTAGACATTTGAATCCCCTTTTCTGACACACAATTTAATTTGTGTTCCTTTTTTGTGACTGATCAGCAAGCATCCTTGTCCTCCTCTTTTGTTTTGAGTGAAAATCTGCAATTAATGCATCCAACCTCTCTCGTGACCGATAAATTCCTTTCTTAACATCTCAATTCTTTTCATTTCTCGTGTTACAAACAGACTGGTTTGCACTGAAAATGTTTGGGGTTTAATCAAGATGGCTTTTATTAAAAAAATAAATGAATAAAATACATGTTTTTGTTCATAATATCTTGTCGTATCTTAAGATTTGTTATATTTTTGTGTGAATATTGAATATATTGTCAGAATATTTCATCTTTGCAACTGCGATCTCTTACACACTGTACAGCTTCTTACGGATTAACGTGTGCCTTTTGATAGAAAGGAAAGATGTTTTTGAAATATGCAAAGCAAAGTGAATAATTGAGGATATCAATCAGAAATAATCATTTCTTTATCTGGTTTGTGCTTTTAAAATTCCCATGTTTTTGCTTGATGTCATTTGTATGACTATTTGACATCACTGAATATGTTGAATAAAGATTATTTTGATACATTTGAGTCATTTCCCCCTCCGCCCCACAGATACAAACACATTGAAAATTGCAAATCATTTTTTATGGGTCACAACAAGGCAAGTTTTCATGTATTTTAAGTTATGAATATCATAATTTGGCCTGATAAGTGAAGTTTGCAAATCACCCAGACACCGTCCTAAATAAATACTTTCCGAGCATGCGCCTCATTTAATGCATCCATAGTCTCCCAATCCATTACAATAAAAGATAATATCCTAAAATTGTGTTCATATAATTTTTTTATTTATTTTCCGTAAAATTTAACCCTTTTAGCGACAGCGGTTACTACAGTGGACTATAGAGCAGTTTCATGTGACGTATGCATACATTAAGTCTGGCTGCTCGCGCTTCTTGGAGGCAGAAAACACAGTGTGAGTCGTAATATAGTGAAACTCCTCTACAACGAAACCAACATGTGTGAAAATAACCCCTTGTGTGAAAAAATCTTCATGCATTAAGCCATTCCCTCTTTTCCGCTTCCCCCAACAACAAAAATCCCCCCCCCCCTGTTGTGTAATACGAAATATTTGTCTCCACCCTAGCCTCCTCACTACAACGAAAACAAGCCTTCCCCAAAGGTCTAATCCAATCTCAGCATGCCACAGCGACCTCTGCTGCTTCGTTTGGAAACGGCAACAGCAACCATCACACTGGCTTACTCATGCGCTGAGGACTGAGGAGGCAATTAAGAATGCTCGTTTTGTAATCAACAGCGACGTCATTAAGATGCGCACGCATCTTGGAGGCTATGTTTGCCAACATTGAAACTCAACTATATATCATGTAAAAAGGCTACAGGGTGCCTGAAAGCGTAAATATCTTTTTCATACCATTATTTTTTTAAAAGCATTTTATTGTGTAACAACACCAACCCAAAAAAGTGAAAAAAACCCTCCAAATTGCCTAAACCTAACTCTGACTACACGCTTAAACTAACCCTTAATCCTACAATAAAACGTCACACTTGCCCGACCGAGCCCGTGGCGAACCCTCACCAATCATATTCCATGACGCTAAACCGTTAATTCTAACAACCACACTAATACATTGATCCCTGCGAGATAAAATTTTGCATCCTCCCCTGGCGTGTCTCAACAGGGATTGGTCCTCTGAACACCTTACATAACATTGTCTTCAGGTGACCTCTGAACTTCACGCCTACCAGCGCGTAAAAAAACGGGTTGAGGCAGCAATGGGAGAAGGCAACGAGCCGGCACACATAGAACGCGTAATCGATTTGGATACTTACGTCGCAGTCTTCAAAAGGTGGAAGCAACTTGTTCGCTAAAAGTCTCAAAACGATCACCACATTGTACGGCACCCAGCCCAGGAAGAAGGCCACCACGATGCACAGGATGAGTTTCACCGCACGGCTCTTCGTGTGTGATCTGGTTCTCGCGATTCTGCCCAGTATTTTGCAGTAGCAAAACGCCATGACCGCCAAGGCGACCAAAAAGAAGAGGTTCTGTTGGGAAACACCAACCGTTGCCCACAGGTCGTCCTCGTATTCGCAGCCGAGGGAGGGTTTGTCCTTGTGTGGGATGGAGACAATGTTACTGAAAAGCAGTGAGGGCACGGCCGCTCCGATGCTGATGATCCACAGCAGGATGGACACCAGAACCCCCACGGTTGTGGATTTTGGTCTCAGGTCGGACAGCGGGCGGACCACGGTCAGATACCTGTAGACGGTCATGACGGTCAGGAAGAGCACGCTGCTGTAAAAGCCGATGAAGAAGACAAAAGTGACGATTTTGCAGAGGGCGGCGTGGAAGAGCCAGCCCCACATGTGGTAGATGGCCCAGAAGGGGAGTCCGCTGGTGAAAACCAGGTCCGACACAGCCAGATTGAGAATGAGAATGTTGGTTAGGGACTTGAGGTTCTCGTACAAAGCCAGGATGACGAGGACCAGGAGGTTTCCGATGAGGCTCAGCGTGATCACGAGCGAGAAGAAAACGGGAACCACAATGGAGCCGAATTGGACCACCTCGCCTTTTTCGCATGCTTCGTCTTCATACTCGTAGTCATAGGAAATGTTGGAGACATTCATTGTCGTGCCTAGAAACAATTGCAATTGTCGTTTTGAGTAAAATGGAATAAACGGAAGGGGAGAAAAAAAAGACCCGAACTGCAAAATTTCCAACAGGACTTCAGCTATTAAAATATTTTAATTAGTTCATGCTACAGACTATTCCCAGCGATTAATCGAATAGAATTGGATGATGAATGACGTGGATATGACGTGTCGACATTATTGTTGTCCTCCTGGAGTCGCCATTTCCACGTTCCATGAAATAATACTTGTGACGTTTTGTGTGTGTGTGTGTGTGTGTGTGTGTGTGTGTGTGTGTGTGTGTGCGCGTGGCTTTAAAAGGCGGGGCTTGGCCTGGTGAGTGATCTCGGTGTCTTGGACAATACAGTATTTAGTGTCGGCCATTGTTGACATTCGGCTGTGCTACATTAGTTCTGCTTTACAGTAGACGTATTAGACTTTTCTTTCTTCCTTTTAACTGTGAAATGATTTACAAGCTTTGGAGATTCTCTGGTTTTTCTGCACTCATTCCTTCTGATTCGCCACCATTGCGTCAAATTTTCTACATGGAGTGATGTGTGTGTTTGTGTGTGTGTGTCAATTCAATGTGGAAAAATAACTGCGAAGCCTCAGAGTGGGGAATGTGCTTTGATTTCTTTTGTGTAATCCAATATTTGAGTTATCCAATTACCATTATTTTTTTTAAAGCGGTTTTATCACTGTAACTTAAGTTTAACTCTGTACTGTACAATTCGCCTGGGGTAGTTCAATTTTTTTATCTTTCTTTCCCCCAAAACATTGCAGAGTATTCGCGGGAAATTACCGTCATCATTTAAGTCCTAGTTGCTTCCATGAACTTTTCCAAGGACTTTGATGCCTTTCTATGACTCTTCCAGTCTCTCTGTATCTCTGCTGCAACCTGCTGTTGACACTGTGACACTCAAAGTCTCAGTGGCCACTTACGTCGATGAAAACATCCTTGTTTGAAGCTTTGCAATGGTGAGCCACTCTTGACCGATTGTTAGTTGTCGTCTTGGTCTCAGGATGTCAATACAGTATATGAACAGCACGATGAAGAATATTGTTTAAATGCCAATTTTAATGAAACCAGGAAATGTCTTTGTCCATTCATGCGTCAAACACCTGTTGTGGATTTTGCTGTCCAGCTCGTTGTTAGACAACAAGTTGTACAAAAAGTGCTGAAATATTTAAGATTTGGACATGTGCATTCACAAGTTTAGAGGTGAAATGAAGTTCACTTGTAAAGGTTCCAGTGCATTTAGGTTTTCCCCTAAAATGTACCCGAATGTCTCATATCACGAACCTTAGTACATTTTACACGCTCCATCTTAAAATAATTCAAAAATGATAAAGTTCTTATAAATATGAAGCAAAACACAAATCTACCTGAAGTTGTTATGACTGTTGTGTTGTTCGCTGTTCACTCTTGGTCATTCTAAGGGTACTTTGAGGCTGCCTCACCTTTATTGTCATGATAGCGGGTATTTCCTCTTTTGCTTTAGTGGGTCAACCTGTTATGCTATCGCATTATGCATCCAACATAGATAGATCTAGAAGAAGAATATTAAGTAGATTTAAGCGAATGAAGGAAGGTATTTAAGGATTCATGAATAAAAAGTGTTCCAAAAAAGTAAGGATAGAGGTTAGGATGCAATATTAAAAAACGGGTCTGAGGTGGATGTAAGGAGGTAAGTTTCAGGCAGGAAATTAGGCTTTTAAGCGATGGATGGAAGGCATTATGGGAGAATTCAGTCAGAAATTAGGAAAAGATGCCAGGAAAAAAGTGGGTTTGAAAAGAAGAAAGTGTGGGAAAAGGTCAGAAAGGAAGGAGGGAAAGTGGATTTTAGCAAACGCAGTGTGAAAGTAAGGATAAGTAAGGACAAAAGCAACTTCAAGGGAAGGAAGTAATTAAGTCTGGAAGGAAAAGATGCTCGGAAAATAATAATAAAATAAAAGCTCACTCCGAATGATTTTATTTTTAAAATATATGATTGTGTATATATCATGGCATTAAAAGTGTGTGTGTCACTGTACGGCTTGTTATTTTCAACAGCAGTGAAACCGCCAAAACAACAGAAAACAGCAACAGAAAACTAGGACAAGTGTTGCTTGATGCCAAAGATCACATGACGCCAGTGTTTACACTCGACCAACCTTGTTGGTCATTAGATACCGCCTACTTTCCACAAAACCATTGGTCGGGAAAATAAGTCTTGGTTTGTGAGTGGATAACGGCATGTGTCAGTCTCACCAGCTGCTCCAAGTTTATCCCACACGGCGCAGCTGGGCTGATATGGACGTGAGCTGAAAAGTATGTTATAGTTGACTAATTCCGCTAACAGCAAATGTCGGAAAGAATGTTTGAAATTTGGGAACATCGTTTTTTGTTTTTGTGCCAAGTGTCAAGAATGTTTGTTGAAAGTTTACCGTCTTAAAGCTAAGTGACAAGTTATTACTCAAGTCGGGGAAAACGCTTCGCTCCTGGGAGCTTTAAATGTTTTCTCTTCGCGTCGTAGTATCGAAATATAGCGGATGATGTTCTTAATGACGCTTGGTTTTTGCTTGAGGGAGTCAAATGTATTGTAAAAGTTGAACAGCGTCGCCGGAGATTAACCTCGTTAGCTTTTAGCAAACGTTCTACATTGTACCGTTGCTCTTGAAGTGTCCCCTGTTTAAAGTAATACATTATGTTAGTAAAACCTGAATAAGGTTTGGTTTACATTGGCACATTGAATCACTTGCTTCGACTGTATAATTCCTCGTTACACGCCCCCTGTGCTTAATTTCCTCCTCTAAACTAGGTTTCCAGACCCTTGATAAATAAGTCTAGTAAAACATTTACATCAATTCGAGGAAGTTCCTAATAGATTGATAGCGTGGTGGCACTAAAGTTTAAACGTGAAGCTTCATAAAGATTCTATTAACTGCAGTACAACAGTGGTAGAGCGTCAGAGATGTGAAGGCCTTCTCTACTGACCTACATTTACAGTCCAGATTCTGCATTTCCTCCTTGAAGTTGTATTAATGTATTTCCTAACACTTATTATCTTGAATTCATAGCATTTCTCTTAGCTGCAATGCAATATGTGGAGATTAGGTTTTTTTTTTCTTCAGTCAGATTTCACATCATGCGCTGCTGTGTCAATCTTATCTGGCTATGGCTTTCGAAATCAGTAATGCTGGCCCGCGCACCTTCACCTCAATCAATGATGGGACTGTTTCTTTAACCAATTAGATTTCACACTTATCCTCACAGGGCCATAACTCTGGCCCTCAATGACATCGGGATTTTTCAATCTTCTGGTTGGTAGGCCACAGCAAAACTTGTTTTGACAAGAAAAACATGCCTGCAGCGATTTGCATGCATCAATACATTTTAATAATTAACATCATTGGTGAGTATGATGTATGGTGTGTCAATTTTAAATGTTTGTGCCATATTTTTAAAATAAATATTAGCTTCTGGAGTGCTCTAGATGACGTACGTGGCCCAATTGCATCCTGTCATATTGCACGTTTGTATACTATTGATGGTGTCTAGAATTGTTATGTGATAGTAGTGGTACTAAGACGTGGATTAAGTCAGCTAAATTACCAAATTCACGGCCAGCCTCTGCAATACAGTTTGTCCAGTATGACACTACTCGTGTTTATCATTAAATTCAGTGACACATACTGCTCTAGTGGCACCAGTTTTATGGAGTCAATTCACAATTAAAATTGTGTACAGGATAGAATTAAAAGAGTCATGTTATTTTTAAACACGGCCGCTTGAAGAACAGCAGATAAAGTAAAAAAAAAAAAAAAAAAAGTATAAATGTATGTGATGTGAGACTATCTTTTTTTGGTACTGTGCTGATTGTAATATTCTGATTCAGCAGACTGGACGTGACTCCAGGGAGGAGGAGCGGTGGGGCCATGGCTGCCGGGGCTACGGTGGGGGAGAGCCAGCTCCAGAGGATTATCCGAGATCTACATGGTACGCCATCAGCTTTGTGTGTGCGTGTGTGTGAATAGATCAGCATTGGAAAGTTGTGGCTTGACATGGTGTGCGACGGCAGAGAAGCAACAAGAGAGTCACAAGGATTTACCGTCACATGTGGCGCTCCTCGGGATGCTCGGATCCACCTCATCTCACCTCTCGGCTAACAAAAACCCAAAACAATCACTACTGGATGTGATTTAGTGTCTGTTTAGAAAAGTGGCGAAATCTGTGTCAGCATGCAGCCAGACAAAGCGTGTGCTGAGGGTACACCCGGGGCACGTGTCCTTCCAATTTTTGCGGTGGATACGAGGCAAGTAGATGATGCACATGGATTTGACATGATCAATTACAGTAGCGGTATAAATCACGGGAAATGTTTACTGAAAGGTTTGTAGCGAATTTAAAATGTGGCAGGTTTACTCTCTCAATACAACTTGTTGCTTTTCTAGAAGAACCGGTAACCAGGAACCATTCATTGCTGTGGCTGTGCCATTAAGTGCTTTAATAATAGAGAGTGTTCCATTTTCAGTGACATTTTTAGCATTTTACCATTTTTGGAGTAGGAATGAGGAATTTCAAACTCAATTCATTCTTTTATACCCGCATTGAAAAAAGAACATTCAACCACTAAAACTTAATTGTTTTTTTTTTTTGTGAATAACCATTTTGACATCATAATTCAAAAAAGTCATCATTGTCTATAATATTCTTTCAGTTATTTTTTTTTTTTGTAAAACAGTTGACTTTTGACTTGTACGTTTGAAAATGGATGGAGGAGAATAATAAGTGTGTGTGGGTGCGCGCGCGTGCGCATGTGTGTGTACACCTCCACAATGACGACTAGTGAAAGACAGTTGCTGCAATTTTCTGTAATAGGCTGTGTTAATTCAAAGCCAAGTGCAGGTTTTATTCCTAAAAGGTTTCTTTAATATCATCTTAAGTCACTTTAATCAGGCACAGTTGGAGCATTAACACTGTGCGGCGCCTGAATATAGGAAAATGAGAAACTCGACTTAACGATTGAATTAAAATGTATTGCACATGAAAGTCAAATGAAAATGGTACCTAAATAGAAGTTTAGGAATAAACAAGATTAAATGCAAATGTACTAAAAAGTTAAATACAATGGAACTCGACTTGGGCAGTGATTCTTTTGCATACAATAAAGGAGAGCATGTGCACCACTTGCGGTATGAGTATGAGTTTTTTTTTTTCTGCTTTGCTTCTGAATGTCTAATGCTGTTGACATTGCTTGTGTGAAGCACATTGAGTTGCCTTGTGTATGAAATGTGCTGTATAAATAATTAATATTGCTTTTAGTACTGCCCTTCACTGGCGTAATACACGTTTTCACCACTGTACAAAAATACATAAATATGCATATTTGTTGTGTTGTTTGTTCACCAATAATTTTTTTTGTTTGTTTGTGGGAATTTGCAGAGGCTGTTGGGGAGATTGCTAAAGAGTACAAGGAAAACGGGGAGCCCATCACAGATGACAGCACCAGCCTGCACAAATTCTCCTACAAACTGGAATACCTGCTGCAGGTACGTGTCCAAGTCACGATCATAATCCTATACTGTGTGATATTCTCCTTGATAATGTAATTCCAAATTACTTATGACAGCTATGCCACTTTTTGTCTTTTCAGTTTGACCAAAAGGAGAAGACAACATTTCTTGGAACAAAGAAAGATTACTGGGATTACTTCACCGATTGCCTGGCTAAAATTAAAGGTGCCAACGATGGCATTCGTTTTGTCAAATCCATTCCCGAGGTACGAAGACTTTCACACAATTTGAGCCTCCACAAATTGCTTTGTAATTCATTGATGTTGTCATTGGAAGGGATGAAAACTGTTAAAATCGAAGGTGGCTACTTCTTGTGAGGAATGCCGGTTGATTGAACGTTGGCATTTACGTGGCAGAAATCACGAGACCAAACCAAATGAGTCAGTTTACGTCCGTACAAAATGGATCGCACGCTGATTGCGTTCAGTCACGAGGTGTAGTGTAATTTGAATTGGAGGTGGGCGAGAGCATGATGAATTGTCATTTGTATCGCTGCTACTCTTTGAATGTCACTGCACAATAACTAAGCTGCGTGTTAGATAAGGTCCGTGTAGATCACAGGTGTCGAAGTCCGGTCCTCGAGGGCCGGTGTCCTGCATGTTTTCCATCCCTCCCTGCTGCAACACACCTGATTCAAATGATCAGGATCACTATCAGGCTCCGATAGAGCTTGCTGATGAGCTGTTCATTTGGATCAGGTGTGTTGCAGCAGGGAGGGATGGAAAACATGCAGGACACCGGCCCTCGAGGACCGGACTTCGACACCTGTGGTGTAGATTCTCAATCATCAAGCTCACGGTAATCCGAAAAGGTTGGATCAAAACAACCGGAACTGCAACTACTTGTCTTTTGAAGACATCTCACCTCTAACCTTTTCTCCGTCCGATAGCTGAAGACGTCGCTAGGGAAGGGCCGGGCTTTCATTCGTTACTCTCTCGTGCACCAACGATTGGCCGACACGCTGCAGCAGTGCCTCATGAACCAGAGAGTCACCAGGTACAACTTCTGATTAGATGTCAGCAATTTTGTATGGTAATTAAGATACCCTGGTTACAGTAGAGTAACCTTTATTAGCTGTAAAAAGGGCTGTTTTTCATGCATTGGCCATATTTGTCTTCAGTTTTCGACGTCTCTGTCCCCACAGTGACTGGTACTACGTAAGAAGCCCGTTCTTGAAGCCTCACCTCAGTGTCGATATCATCAATCACTTGTACGAACTCAACGACATTCACTTTGATGTCGCTTCCAGAGGCTATGATCTTGATGCCTCCTGGCCCACTTTTGCAAGGTAAGAGTTTAGCTAGGGACACCCCCCACCCCCAAAAAAAAAAAAAAAAACACTAACCAGGACTGAAAATGGACATATAGTTGAGGCCATTAAGTTTGACTGAAATGCAACTTTCAACAGGAGGACACTGGGAGGTGCAAGCTCACCTGGACACACGTGGAAACCACCCAGTCGCAGTTCCAGTATTAACAGTCTGGCCAGCAGTTACTCCCAGGTAACTGATTGGGAGTCAAGTCTGTTCTGCTAGTTGGCTTCCAATTTGTTGGGATTCATAAAAAAAAAAAAAAAAAAAAAAAAAAGAAACATAGAATACAATAAAAATAAGTCATTATAAAGCATTACTCCTATTGTTTTAAGTAATATTTTGAATTGCTCATTGTCTCCTCGCAAACATCTAGCAAGCATCCGAGTTGCTCTCCAGCCCCGACTACGGTCACGGTCTGCTCAATGACCTGAACGACTCGCTGCCCCCCTACAGCAAAGACGTTAGCACCGTCGAAGACCTTCGTCTGGAGCTGGACCGCTCCGATCTGAGGCAGCAGGAGCTCCTGGATAAAATCAAGCAGCTGAGCGCGGAGGCCGAGGAGCTCAGAGGGGTTGTGGTGGAGCTCCAGAAGCAGCTGGATATATCGCTCACCGCGCAAGAGGAGCAACGGGGTTTGCAGGGAGAGCTCAGGGGTCTGCAAGGGAGAGAGGAGAACCTTTCCAAAGAGCTGGAAAAGCTCAAGACTGGAGAAAAAACCATGGAGGCCGAACAGCGACTCCTCCAGGAAAAGTTGGCGGCTACTGAGGCGAAGAACATTGAGCTACTGGCGAAGTTGGACGGAATTCTGAATGAGAAGGGCCAGCAGGCAGCCAGTTACTTTGATTCGGCACAAAAGATACACGAACTGTTGGATGGCTTGAAGGAGGCAGAGAAGGGGAAGATGGAGGCAGTTACTGAGGCGGAGGAGAAGAGGAGACAGGCGGAAAGGGCGGAGGAGGAGCTGAGGGCGAAGGAGGCTGCGGCAAAGGATGCCGAAACAAAGCTCAAAGCGAGACTTACGTCGGCCTCTGAGGAGAAAGGCCGACTGCAGACCAGAGTAGAGGAACAGTGCCACGCCCTTGAACAGCTTCAGGGCGCCTTGACACTGAGGGAAAAGGAGACCAGCAACTTACAGAGGCAGCTGCAGGACCTCCAAAACTCTCTGGAGGAGAAGGATAAAGAGGCGGAGGAGGTGAAAAGGAGGGCACAAGAGGACCAAGTAGAGTTACATAAAAACGTGGGTAGGCACAGGGAGACTTTAGAAGGAGAAATCGTTTCTCTAAAAGAGCAATGTGAGATGAAGGAAACGGAGCTGTCCTACGGTTATGAAAAGCTACAAGTTCTCGAAGACCGCAACCGAAGCCTGAGCGCCGAAAGGGACAATCTGACCTCAAAGCTCAACACGCTAGAGAGTTGCGTTCAAGAGAAGGAGGCAAAGATAGAAGACTACAAGACGCAGTGTTCCAATCTAATGGAATTAAACGAGAAACTGCTGAACTCAGCAAAGAGAAACGAAGAGCTTAAGAAGGAGTTAGGAGAGAACCGGGCAGTTCTCGAAGGTGAATTAGCATCTCTTAGGGCTTCTGAAAAACAACTCAAGAAACAGCTGGATGACGCCAAGATGACCGTGGGCGAAAAAGAAAAGGGTTTGCGTGACGAAAACCTCAAACTGGAGGAGAGTCTGCAGCGCGCAACCATGGCCGCCAAACTCTCGGATGTTACGTCCCAGCAGCTTGAGAAGGAGAACCAGAGTCTGAGAGAGGAGCAGGACTCTGTGAAGGAATCTCTCTTTCGCATGCAGGGCGACTTGAAGAGCGTTCACGGGCAGATCGGCGAGCTGGAGAAGAGCTTAGGAGACTCGCGCAAGCGCGAAGTCAGCCTTCAAGAGCAAGTGCGAGCCATGGAGGCGCAGCTCGAGAGTAAAGACAAGCAACTTCTTGAGGTCCAGTCCAGGGTGGCGACTCTGGAGGCCACAGAGAAGGAGCTGCAGTTGGCAAAGGTGAAAGCGGAAGCAGCTTGTGCGAAACAGACGGAAATGATTGAAGCGGTTACGTGTGAGAAGCAGGCGATGGAGAAGTGTCAGCTGGAGAGAAGCGCCGTCCGGGCTAAAGAGAACCAGGAAGTGGCCGTCAAGTTGACCGTGATGGAGGGCCAATTGGAGGTGAACATAAAAGAAGTGTCCAGACTTCAGGCGGACATCCTAGACCTCAAGGTAAACTTACAGAGATCGGAAGAGGAGAAGCTCAAGTCCCAAGCGCAGCTGGAGGTGACCGAGGCCCAAAGAAATGAGCTCCGGACTCTGACCGAGCAGCTTAAAGTCCAGACTGAGGCCCTGAACCAGAAGCACGTCGCCGAGCTCCTCGAGTGCAAAAAGAAAGAAGAGGCGCTAACCGAGCAGCGCGACAGGGAGATGGCCGCCCACGCCGAGCTTTCCATCTCTGCCGCCGCCCTCCGAGAGGAGATGTCCGGCCTTAAAACCGACAACAACCGTCTCGCCCTGGAGAACACGGAAACCCGGGAAGGCTTGCACAGGGCCAACACGGAGATGGCCGAGCTGGGAATGACCATCTGTAAGCTCAGCGCCGAGAAGGAGGAGGCCAGGAAGCACTGGGCCGACGACACCGCCGCCATCGAGGAACTGAGGCACGAGGTCGAGCGCCTGGAGGAGTGTGTGAGCCAGTTGCAGCTTGAGAATGACAGACTGGAAGGGGAGCTCAGCCACAAAGAGAAGCTCCCGGAGGCTATCGCGAAACTTCAAGGACAGCTGGAAAAGAGCAAGAACCAGCTGCAGAACCTCAAGGTCTCCAACCAAGAGGAGGTGAAGTCCCTGAAGTTCCAGATGAGCTCGGAGAACATGAACCATCAAGTCCAGATGAAGGTGACTTCGTCCACCGTCAACTTTGCGGTCTTGTTTGTTTTTACGCCGCGTTTATTCACTCATCTCACCTATTAGAATGTGGAGAAGGAGCGAGTCGAGGTCAAACGGCAGCTTGAGGAGGAGAAGAAGAAGGTGTCCTGTTTGCAAGAGAGAGTGTCTGAACTTGAGGTTGGTGTTCTGTAGACATCGCACAATGCATTTTAGTAGTTTTGCCGCGTCTGCATTCTCTGGAGAGTTCATATGTGGATGTATGAATATACAGTACACTTGAAGTCAAAGGAAGCCCCCGACAGACCCAATTACTGCTGTGTAGTGTTAGATTCCACACAGAGTTAAACAAAAAACAGAAGTTGCCTTCATCATCAATGCCCCCGGGAGATAATTGCACCGCATTGTGTGCCTCGTGTAGCATTCAGATGTAATACATTGAAATCTTTTCTCACTTATACGGGTAAGGAGATGTTGATCTTATTTTGATGGTAGCAGGAAAAAAAGCTGAACTGAGGACAGTAGCGGTCCAAATTTAATGAACAGATGTCTAAAATGGGCGTTTGGTGACCAATAATTGTGTTCAAGTGCTGTTTGTGCATTCTCTGTACAGTGGTTGAACAGTGAAAGCACAAAAAATGTGCGAATGACAAATGTTTTCTCATAAATTTCACGACCACCGTGTTGTATTATTTCCAGACAAAAAGATACGGATTCAACATAGAAAGGTTGTGTCCAAATTGCATGATCGGCGTGAATTGTTCTGGTGCTAACGTTCTTAACAGGCTGAGAATGAGAAGTACCTGCAGCTGAGCGGTGAGAAAGATGCTCACATCACCAAGACTGAAGCGACGGTTCGTGAGAACGATGGAGCGATTCAAGAGCTAAGAGACGCGCTAACCAGGTCCGGCCGCGGCGACGCTTGGGGATTTCTCTGCGTGATGCCCGGTGAACAAATTCGAATGCGGTTCTCCTTCCTCAGCGCCGAAAGCTCACACTTGGCTGCGCAAAACGAATGCGAGGAGTTGAAACGGGAACTGGGAGCGACCCAAGACGCGAAACAAACTCAACACCTGAAGATGGCAGCCGAGATTGATGACCTCAACCGGACCAAGGTCTACCTGGAGGAGCGCCTCATTGAGCTTATAAGGTAACATCTAGAGAAGTGATTCTCAAAATCTTGCTACCAGCACCACTAGTGGTCCTCCAGCTCACTCAAATGATACGTGAAAGAATCGCTGCCCAAGTACAGTTGTGTCATCTTTATTTTTTTAGGTACAAGTTTCCTATATTTAATCAGATTTAATGATCAAACTGCATAATGTTACAGTGACTTGCTGAAACATTTTTTTCATGAACACTTAGACCTACTACGCTACTGCATTTTAATGTTTATCGTTATGGTGGTACTTAGAGTACTCAATATTTTTTATTTCGGGGTACTTGGTGTTTGTTTTTTTTTTTGGTACTTGGTGTAAAAGGTTTGAGAACAAGTGGCCTAAAGTCTATTATGATCAGTCAAAAGCACCCGCTGGAACAAGTGGAGTGAGGACGTCATTATCTGTTCAGAAGCCAACTTCCTCATCATTACTGGTTGTCACTTCTTTGACGTTCACATTGTGTTTTTAACAACTTCTTCTCTGGAGAGCAGATTTTGTTCTCCTCATCGGATAGGCGGAAATGTCCCGAAAGCTTGGCGGCAAGTTTTTTCTTTCTTTTTTTTTTTTTTTAATGTGAGGCTTTGAAGACGAGAGCAGGAGGCAAGTGGTCGAGTCAGAAAAAGAGACTAAAATCTTTCTTTTTATTATTCTGGAGCCGTTGTTGCCTCAAAACCCACGAGGCTTATACAGACAGAAATGTTGACCACTGAATGTCAGTGATTCTGTTAATCACTTCCCCTTGGGTCTGCCCACGCGATTTCACTGTTCTTCCTCAAGTGGTTACGCATTACATGTACACCTGCCTTATTTTGTGGAATCAATCTTCTTCTCCTATGTGCGTTTTCATCAGGTACACCTGCACATTGCATTCCTTGCAGTTGTATTCGTGGGAGCAACAATTATACACTAAACATAAAAAAATAAATAAATAAAAAAAAAGAATTGCAAATGTTGATTGTCAATCTTTTGACAACTTCCCCCGTTTAAAGCCCGCACATGCCAGCCAGTCACAAAAGTCTATTCACTGCGTTTCACCCAGCATTATGGACATTTTCGGTGGCACCCGTGCAGAAGATTTTCAGTCAATTTCTAAAGAAATGTTATTATATCCAAAGTTGGTCAATTTCCATAGGAGTTACTAATTATTTATTGTAATTGATTTTTCAATTGCTTTACTATGATGTACGTGTTGAGCCTCATTCACTCAACTACATTTATTAATGAGGCGCATTGAATTTTGTTTTGTTTTTTGCGGTCACTCGGTCAATTTCAGTTTTCCATGAAAACACACCGCTGTATCTACTGAACACACTTTTGTTCAAAAGTGTGGGGCTTCCCTAAAAATGTCCCATTTTTGTAAGAAAATAACGTTTTCCATTAAAAAAAAACAAATGAACAGTCTAGACTTTATTTCGTCTTCATGCAGTATCATTGGCATTGGGGGGGAAAACAAAACAAAATAAAAAACAATCCTTCTATTGCTTGTGTGCCGTTGCACGTGTACCTTTTATCTCGCTAGATATGAGCGATGACGGTCTCCTTTCCCCTCAGAATTTTAATTTTCCAGGTTCCGCCTATGAATTTTTCAAATACAACTGCATAAATATCATATGATCTAATACAACAGCGATGTCAAAAATCTTCTCCCACCTTGTATCATAATGGTTGTGTGCCGTTGCACGTGTACCTTTTATCTAGATATGAGCGATGACGGTCTCCTTTCCCCTCAGGGACAAAGATGCCCTGTGGCAGAAGTCGGATGCGCTGGAATTTGAGCAGAAACTGCGAGCGGAGGAGCGTTGGTGGTTGGCGGACAGAGAAGCCACTCACTGCTTGGGCTGTCAGGGCCAGTTCACCTGGTGGCTGCGCAGGCATCACTGCCGGTGTGCATCCAGCATCCCAAAAAGGAAGCTTTTTCAAGACACACCCACTGACATTTCTTCTGTCTTTTCTAGACTCTGCGGCCGCATCTTCTGCTACTACTGCAGCAACAACTACGTGATGGTCAAGAACAGCGGTAAGAAGGAGCGCTGCTGCAGGGACTGTTACAGCCAACACGGCGCCGTGGTGGAACGCTTCACCGCCGCCGAGCTGAGCCCGTCTGATCAGCAGCCTTCTCCAACGGAAGCCGGGCCTCATCCTACCCCCGAGCCTGCCCCTTATAAACCCACTCCCGGTGTCACAGGTATGAGGCGAGCTGGGAAGACCAACATCATCTCAGGCGCATGCGCGGGAGTTCACTTGATGTGATTCAGTCCTTTGTTTTGTTCCTCAAAGATAATCAGTAACTCGTGAGCTCGAAGCAAAAGTGAAAAAATGAAATTGGTAGGAACAGGAAACGCCACAAATCAGGGGTGATTCGCCCCTCCACTGAGCAAGTAGCTGAATCCCATACCCACATTCAAAACCAAAACCAGTGGAATCAGTATTAAGCTGACCAGACTTGAGTGGGGGGGACCATTAATGTGAGATATTGCACACAGAAACACAGTTCTACCACCCCCACATGTATTTAGACTTGTTAAAATATACTTTTCAAGCATTCCTTACCGCCTGTTCTTGCAGTTCTCCAAATAAGAGCAAGGTGGGGCCTGCTCCCAGCTGGTCGTAAAACTGATTCATAAATCAGAATTTAGCATTGTATAGTGAAGGAGCAAAATTTTTAACCAAACCATCTAACTTCATCCAATAAAAGTCCTCTAGCTTCATGCAAAAAAAAAAAAAAAAAGTGAAATGCCATCGAGTGGTTAATCAAGTCAAGTACAACTTTATTGTCAAATGCGTTGTATGTGCAACATACAGCACAGATGAAATTTCTTCCCTCTCAACCACACAAGTAATGCCACTTAGCATAGATGTTACTGTAATTATGAACAACTGCTTATGTTTAGAAGTGCATTTTGTGAAGTTTAAATGTGTTTCAAACCTGTTGGAGGGGTCACACTATTTAAAAAAAAAAAAAAAATCGGTGGTCTCGCTATAATCCAAATTTTTACCCTCATCATGAATTTGGGCTCACCGTATGGTAATTTGAGGTCAAGTTGGCCCATGTAGTTATTCGATCTTTTTTGTTGTTGTTTTTTTTTCACCCTAATCACATCCTCAAGTTCTCTCCCAGTTTCAGACCCGAGCCACAAGCCTGATGACGGCACTTTTGATATCATCACAGAAGAAGAGGTAAATGGCGTGTATGACAGTGACACCAATTCACAGACCACAGGCGGCTCTTTTGAGGGAGAACAGCAGGAGCGAAGGCCACCCGGATCCTTGGACATGTAAGTATGTCAGAGCCGTGTTTCCAAACTCAATTTGGTTTGCTTGGTGTGGAATATTTGGAAATACACAAGTTCCCTCTTGCTTTGGATACAACATCAATTTTTTTCCTGCTGTGAGTACCCCGAGTTCCCTTTTGCTTGAGATACAACATCAATTGTTTCCTGCTGTGAGCACCCCACTGTTATTTTTATAGAAAAAAAATTACAAACAGCCTTTCACTGCTGGAAGGAAAACAGAAATCTTCAACCTTTGGCTTAATCAGTTCCATATAAGAGTGATTCCGGTGGAGCATCCGGCTCCCGCGCAAATACTTTGTCCTTTTCCTGTTGGTTTCACATGTTCCTTTGAGAACAGTCAGCCCTAATGTTAGGAATAATATAGCTGTTCCGAGTAAATGTGTGCAAGTCACGCGGGTTCATTTTTTGAGCTTCGTAATGGGTCAAAATATTCTTGACGTGCTCTTCGAGGAGCTTTCAACTGCATATCATTGTATTTATCAGTGGCCCCCCGATGGTTACATGTAATGACAACTTTGCCATCTCCATGGCGACAGAGCATATATCATTGGCTGCTAAGATTTGTCTGAAAGCCCCAGAAAAAAGGCTCCAGTCGATAGATGCGTGATCTTGGGTTAAGATTGCCGGGGGGGACTTGTGGATAGGATCCAAGTGCATAAGTCATTATCCTGAAGGGTTTCACCAAGTCATCTTCACAGATAGCTGTACCTCTTACCCCTTACCGTGAGATACGGTTCCATCGCGCGGATGGAATTCTGACATTGTTTTCCCCCTTTGTGTGTGATGAATTTTGCAGAGGTGTAGGAGAATTAACCCCTGACGAACCGGAGGAGAATGTCGCCACCGTGCAGGACTCGGAAATCAACCTTCTCAAGTCAGGAGAACTCACGTGGGTGTTGATGTCATCCCAACACGAGCGTGACTTTGGCAGAATCCTTTTCTATCGAAATGGCCGTCTCGCCGCAGGATGGCCGTCCCGCTCACCATCGAGGATATTTCCCACTTTGGTGACGGCTCGCGCGAACTCTTCATCAAGTCCAGCTGCTACAGCGTGGTGACCGTTGCTGTGGCTGACTCTGGGCAAACCATCAGCTGGATGTTTTCCTCTGAACCTAAAAGCATCTCCTTCAGTGTGGTTTACCAGGAATGTGCTGAAGCTCACTTGGAACAATCAAAGGTAGATGGTTAACTTCAGGTACACATCCTCTCTACATTTGTCAAACCACTCTTCCTGTTCAGGGTGACTCGGAACGTGGTGTCAATCCTCTACAAAAAGATTTCTAGTCTAAATTCCACAGGAAAATAGCTTATGTCCTACACATCAACTTTCCTATGAGGCGGAGCTTTTCCGCCATCTTGTGGTATCTCAGGGTATCACATAAAGAGGAAGAAAACGTGTGTGTGAACCAATGAGCTTTTCAGTGAATAGCTGAGGGTGGGTTCCACAAAGGGCGGCCCGGTGGACCAGTGCGTCGACCTCACAATGGAGAGGTTGTGGGTTCGATCCCGGCTCCGGCCTTCCTGTGTGGAGTTTTCATGTTCTCCCCCGGCCTGCGTGGGTTTTCTCCAGGTACGCCGGTTTCCTCCCACATTCAAAAAAACATGCATGGCAGGCTGATTGAACACTCTAAAATTGTCCCGAGGTGTGAGTGTGAGCACGATGGTTGTTTGTCTCTGTGTGCCCTGCGATTGGCTGGCAACTGGTTCAGGGTGTCCACCGCCTACTGCCTAAAGACGGCTGGGATAGTCTCCAGCACCCCCCGCGACCCTTGTGAGGATAAAGCGGATTGGAAGATGGATGGATGGATGGGTTCCACATGAAAAAAAATGCAATTTAATAACATGTTTCTTGCTTTTATTCTAGTTTGATTTAGTTTTCCACTGCTTATAAATAACCTCAATCAAGTTCACTAGAAATAGTAACGGTACAGTACTAAACCTTTCCAACAACGATAAGACTGTTATAACATTAAAATGAATAGTTCTCTTTCAACAGTTATGATTCAGCTCTTGCGTGCAGGTGTACTTAATGTTCTAGCGGAGGAGTGTGCTTTCACGCTCCACAGAATGTGACCCCCTCCCGGAGATTCTGGAACCCCTGAAGTACATGCAGGATAGAGACATTAATAATCTATAACCACCTACATTATTGAATTGTCTCTTGACAATCCATTTTCTGAGGTGCTTGTCCTTATTAGGGTCACGGTTGGGCTGGTGCCTGTGGTAAGAGGCAGGTTACACCCTGGACTGGTTGTCAGCCACTCACATTCATACCCATTGACAATTTGGAGTCTTCAGCGAATGAGCCTGCCATGCATGTTTTTGGAATATGGGAGGAAGGGGTGCACTCGTAGCCAAGATTCGGACTTCTCGTCTGCAAGGCAAATTTCCTCCCCCAACATGCTGCCTCATAAAAATCTATCCAAACCCCTTAAAAATCAACACACAGTGTCCCGAAATCCAAACTGAACACCACACACAGTGGGCTTTCGTTGTCGCCCATACAGGCAGTAATCAGACTGCTTTGATACTGCTGATTGGCATTTTTTTTTTTGAGGGGCGGGGGAGAAATTAGTTATTTTATTTTATTTATTTATTTTTTTAAACCACGAGGCAACATTTTTCTTTTTGTCTCTTATCAAGGTCCTCATTCCACTGACTCGCTGCAATTCCCACAAAGAGACCATTCAGGGACAGCTGAAAGTGCGTCGACCGGGAACCTACGCGCTCATCTTCGACAACTCTTTCTCACGGTAGGCGCGTGCGTCTTGACCCGCAAGTGATTCGTCTTTTTGATTGGGTTTGATGCTCATGAATGAGCTATTTTCTTAAAACGACTCTCACCACTACTACTGTTTATCCAGCTGCCGCGCATCACTTAATGGGATTACGTCCGTTTGAACGGAAACATTCTCCTCCTCCCACCCCCACCCCCTCGCAGGTTTATCTCCAAGAAAGTCTTCTATCATCTGACCATGGAAAAGCCCATCATCTACGATGGAAGCGACTTCCCCTGAAGCTTTAGCGTCACATGGACGTCACTTAAGTATCGCCATGGAAACTGAAGGGATATTAAGGAAAAAAATCTGCATGAGTAATGATTTTTTTTTTTTTTTTGCCTTTATTTGGATGGGGGCGGGGGGAATGTGATGACTTGCTTCATGAACAAAATAATCACCAAGTAACATTTTTACATTTGAGCAATGTTTAAATGTATGCTTTAATTGATTTAAATTGAGGCATTTTTTTTACATGGAGGAAGTAGTAACACTAACAAAAGGAAATTTGGCAACTATTTATCTCTAAAACAAGAAGCCTATGAAGACAGTGTTTTTTTTTTGTTGTTTTTTTTTTTTAAATATTGTTTTTAAATGAATAGTCGGTCTGTTGTGCAGTCTTCCAATTAAAACACCCTAAGGAGGTAAAAAACATTTTGTTTTTTGCATCCGAACGCTATTTGCACTGTGCGCACTTCTCAGGAGTTTTGGCATAAATGTGACACTTAGTTGTCATTTTTATGTTTTTTTTTCCCCAGACAGCAAAACATTAAATGAGCGCCGCCATCTTAATTGTAACGAGATGAGTCGATGTGTTGCGGTATATTGCAACCTCTGTAGCTTCCAAGTGCCTGTTGACTCTAATGGCTTGTGATGGGGGTGACACTTTAGGGCAACGTCGTGTATTTGTGTACATTGGGTTTCATTCTCTCAGTGCGTTTGACGTGTTTCAATAGCATTTTTTGTGTCTCTTCTTTTATCTGAATTTTGTGTCTGTTTTGTATTTGGAGGGGGAAAAAACAGTTGGGTTACATTGGAATACTCTTCTTGTTAAAAGCAAGGGCTTACCTATGACGATGTCGTCTATTTTTGATGGATGCAAATTTGTATGCAAGGCTATTTTTCTCTACACGGCTGCACTTGTTAAAAATATAAAACATTTTAATGATGAATGATCCACGTGTTGATGTGTTTTGATTGCATGAAGAATCACCACAATGCAAATTTTTGTTTCGATATCACAACTGTGCACAATCATTTGTAAAAGTGTCTTTTCAGTTACACTGGATGCTCACAAACAGGTAAATATCTTTTGGAATGTCTTCCCCAAAAGCAAGTTCATTTCCTGCCTTATTATAAATGCTTTTATTGTGAAAACACACCCTGGAAATTGACCTCTCCCATTTCTGTGAATTGATAGGTAGAACTAATATTGGAGAATGAGAGAGTGAGTGAGAGAGGGTCTCAAGCATACTCAAGCTGCTTCCAGCGCGGCTTCCACTCTCCACAGGCTCTACGCCGGGTGGACGGCAGCATGCAGCGGATGTGCTCCAGAGGGGCTTTCCTCACCCTGTGCTTGGCACCTGCCGTGAGTAGATTAGAAACTTCTTTCTCTTGAAATTCAATTTGCTGGAAAAATGGGATCTCGTGCGATAGATTTGATTTGGAACGCTGATCCAAGTTGAGTTCCTTTCTTTTTTGTGATTTCTCATCTCATTGACATCCAAGCTCCAGTCGGAATGAGAGCGTATCCGACAGAGCTCATTTCATTGCTTTTAAAGTGAACGCAAGTTAAATGCCGTTTGAGAGGATCATTTTCACTCTATTGCTGAGCTGAATGAGATGTGTGTTGAAATGTGGACAAATAGTCATTTAAAATGATGCAGGTAAATGCTCTGTGCTACGGAGGTGTCAGGATTATTTAATTGATTGGTTAAATTGATGCTATTTATAAGTCGTATGATTTGGGGGAAAACCCCCACCTTTTACTCCCTTTGGACTTTTCTCAAGAAATCGGTTTTGTACGGTCATTTAAAGTTTGATCATACAATGTGGTACTTGCAGTTCTAATAGTTGCGGTCTTATAATTATGTATTGTATTTGATGCACCCAGAATTGACAGACATACCTTGGCCATAATTCCAAAACGGTACAAACAGTCATCGCCAAATGAAGACCATATCTTAGCTACAGTCATGCATGCTCGTGGCAGTATCATCCTTTGAGGGTGTTTTATTTCAGCCGAAACTGGGCTTTCGACATGGCGGAAGGAATTCTGAACAGTTCCAT